ATGGCTTGGCTGTATGTGCGTAATTGATCATCCAAATTTAGAAACCGGCGTATTTTCGGGCGCCGCGACGTCGTTAGAGATTTTTCGCGGCGGTTCGAAGGAGTATCGTTCGAACCTCGACGTGCCAAGACGTGGATGGAATTTATATAATACAATCATGGTCCGCGATGACGCCATGCTGGCTGTTATTTTGCCAAAATTTTTTCGCGGGAAATTCAAACCGCTGCGTTTCCCCCCTCGAGAGATTCGCGCGAGTCATCGAGCGAGTTACTCGATGAGAAAGATTGTGAGCCACGCTGTTTATTTTTTTTTCTTAGACAGTGTTAAATGTATTGTCAATTGACACGCGTCGTTAACGTGCTACTGATAAATGTTGTTGCGCAGAATGTTTGTTTATCGCGTTCTCGTCCGGCTAATTGTAAATGCAAACTGAAGATTGTTATCATGAATTCATTATCTGTTACTCGGATGTAGATTTGACATTTATTAGCGAACAATTGATAGTAGAAGTACTTTAACGAAAGTCTGTGCGAAAAACAGTAATGGGTGGTGTACCGTCTTTAATTGGAAAAAAATTTGCTTACAGAGTGGCCGGTACTGCAGGTGCAATAGTCACTTGTCCCTTAGAGGTGGTGAAAACACGACTGCAGTCCTCCTCTTCTGGTTTCTATCCACGCCCACAGAACACAGAATTTAATTCTGGCCATGTGACTTGCAAGAGTTTTCCTAAATCAGAACAGAGAAGGCGACTGTGCACGGGAGGTTCTGATAGGAAATTACAATACAGGTGGCTCTTTTAATATGTTGTTCAAAACCATTAGGAAATCCTGGGCCATTGATGCAATGTTATCCAAATTTATTGTGTTCACACAGAACAAGAGGAAATTCTTCAACGATTTTGAGCAAAATTTTCCATTTGCACTAGTAACAATAACACTTTCGACAAACAGGAGTATTTTTGATGGAACCAGGCACTCGAATAGCGAACAAAACAATCCCTGACCTATTTAAGGCTGCTTTGTGTTTTTCATATGTGACACGAAAGAAATGTATCTGCCAAGAAATAGCAATACAAGGTCTTTGTTTTGAAAGGTCAACAAAAACACAGAGAATGTGTTTTGTTTTCTGTTAGCTTGGAGGGATGGGAGACTTAGAAAGTAATCCACCAATGTCAGTCTTAAAGGAAAACAAGCTTCTTAACAGTTTCAAACAAGCTACAATAAAGAATTTTGTTTAATAGTCTAGAGGGTGGCAGAGATAGTATGTTTATAATATTTTGTAACTTAATTTTATCTTCAGTCTTTCTACTGTTAAGTATTCCAAGCTACTTTGGCCTAACTGCACTTATACATGTGTTTGAAACGCACGGCGGTTTGTGTTCGGCTAATTCCCGCATTCATAGGATTCCTTAGCCCAGAATAAATCCTTAGTGACTGTGCACTGTGCAGCACAGTGAAAGCGTGAACTTATTGACAACCCAGTCGCTTCTACCAAAAGTCCTGCGCCGTTTACCCTCGCGTACTAAAACAAAACCTTTCAGACATTTTGAAATAAACAAAAGAATGCCTCAATCGTATGATTCCACCCTCAGAATACTTATAAGCGAACACAGTAGAGAGTTACAGCTACTCAGAAATTTGTTCGGCAGAAGAGTTCCCCATTAATTACTACATTTATTATTATTGACATTGCAAAAGAGCATAAAAAAGAAATGACAGCAAATATGAATGAACGCTGCATTGCATAACGACTCTTAGATATAACTGTCACTTGGGGAGTGTGAATAGATAAATGAGTCACTGTACGTCTAGCATTTGAGCTAACGTAGAGACTAGATGAAGCACTGAAAAAAAGACACTCCGATTGACCAATGGGTTCCTTCTGTTGCAGGCATGTTCTGGTGGCCCTATCCCACTTTGGGGTGCACTCCACACCTGGAGGTACCCCCTGCACCCACTCAGCCCCAGGTATCTTTCAATGCATCAGATACATCGTGCAAAACGAAGGGACGCGTGCGCTGTTCAAAGGGCTTGGCCCGAACCTCATCGGTGTCGCTCCCTCAAGAGCAATTTACTTCTGCGCCTACTCAAAGAGCAAGGTCGCCTTCAACACGATCTTACCCGCGGATACGCCTATCGTTCATGTCTTCTCCGCATTCTGCGCTGGTAAGTCCCCGCGTTGTCCTCTCGCTTCTGATCCACTTATCTCGATCCCCTAAAGAGGACCAAACTAAAAGGTACACAGAAAACGTGGAGACACTGGGATGACAAGAACATTAGTCTAGATGGGTTAATACATTGAGCCAACCACACGGTGAGCCACATTGCTCATCTCGATGATACCATGAAGCTGCACTATGTCCTTTCGCTTACACACAACACAGAAACTAGGGTAACTCCGAATGAGATGGTCTCATACACATCAAACATTCATATTTTCAATTATTCCTAGTACACTGAACCTTGCACGCGAACCTGTTTAACCATTCCTTCTCACATGTATTCACTTTCATAAAATCTACATTCTTTTTGTCAGGTAGTAACGATATGCATGACGTAAGAGTTCTTTTAAAACGTTGGGCCATCTCTCCACGACTTACCCTACATGCTCCACTTGACAGCGTGTACATTGTGTGCCACTCGAAGATAAGAATTTTTGTAAACCATGAGGCATATTTCGCAAACACGTAACTAGTGCGGTAACGTGGCCCACGCAGAGCGGGCAGAGGATCACGTGAATCCGGCGTGGTGCTCAATGTGTTAACCGAGTCTGGGCACGGAAATAGACCGGATCTGTATCTGGCCAAGGCATTGTCCGTCCGCGTAATATCTGTTACAATGTATGTATACCCAGCGCGCGCGGCGTTATCAGCGTTTTTCTTTCTCGGCGTCGGCTAATCAAACCGGTCTTAGATGGAAGAAGCTCAGTGGGGTCACGTCGCGCGTCATTCGCCTTATCACCTGAATGGACTCACCCCGTCGCCTCTGCCGCTTCGAACTGGTTCGTGACGCGCTTCTGATCCCCCTTTCCGAGCCGCACTGATAACCCGGTGCAACGGGGGATTCACGTAATCAGCAATCATTAATACACGCCGTGCGTCCAGATTGTACGTTCTTGGGGATCTCTTCCACTGGGAATCTCTAGTTAAGGTCGTTGACCAACTTCTGCGAATTCTAATATTAACCCTTTAGGACACGGACCCTGCGAGACAGGGACCATTCTTCGTTGAATATTATCAGCCAGGGGTCAAGAGAGATTAATTAAAAATTGGTGGCAGGAGATAAGGGACTTGCGTATCGCTCGATAAGGGGTTGAAATGTTTGTCAAACGAGACTGTTAGTCTCTAAACTGAACCGATCTTATCCGTGGAAGGTTGAACCTCAACCCCTGGACGATTCTCTTGGAGAGACTTCTTCGCAGGGGTGCTTAGTGCACGATAAAACCATTGTAAATATGTTTGTTGCTGGTTTCCTTTTGTACGTTGCTAGTGGCTTTGGGACTGGGGAATACCCGGAATGCAGGTCTCTTTCAGGGTAGATTCATTATCATGGTTTGAAAGAAATCTGAGAAATTTAGGGAGTGGCGGTGTCATTCATTTGAGGTGACAGGTTTGACAAATGTAAAGACCGACAGGGACTGGTCTTATTGACTCTTGATGTGGCCCATTTTCGGGGGAGTCCCTTCCGCCGTGTTGAAAACGTGCATACGGTCACGTAGACAGCCAACACTCGGTTCAGCTTGGTAGTCTTGTTGCCTTCTGACTTACTCGAGGCGAGGTTTTGTATTAAAGGTGGTTTAAATTTAGATTATAAACAAAGTGTTGTTTCCATTGGAAGTTCAAGGAATGGTGCATTTGGAAGGTGGGAAATTAGTACAGGTTTTAATATTTACATCACTGTAATTTTTACTTTGTTTTTAAATCGTTATTATTAACTGGGAATTTGTGATAATCACGTACCTGATGTGTAATTAGTCTTGAATGGGTCAGTTCATTGGCTCTGTTTTCTTGCATTACTATTTTTTCAGGGTTTCTTTGTAAAGGAGTTTAAACCTGATGATATACTTGTGCAGTTTGAGAACCAAGCTTTTCCTAGTTGCTCATCTGAGTGACTTATTTTCATTTTCTATCCTCTATCACTGGAATGTGGTTGAATGTTATCAGTGGACTATGGACTTGTACGAAAAATTGTTTTTGTGGTTCAGAATCATGGGACTGGAGTCAAATGGTATTTTATTTAGTGTATCAATTCTTTATTCGAATTTAGTTTAGTAAATATTCTGTTCTAGATATTAATATTTAGTGTCGAACTGGAAGTATACAGCAAAGTGCTAATAGTTTCTTTTTCTGTATTTTTATAGTAATCATTGGACATGGAGCGAAGTTAATTTTGAATTTGTTGTTTGATCAAATTCATGGCTCTAGATTTTAGATTCCTATTTTTAAGGTAACTGAGAACTCTAGAATTTTTTATATAATTAAGAACTCTACAATTTTCAGTTCTTAAAACACTCTTTATCTAATTTACATTCAGAGATATTTCCAATCTAAAGCTGCACGAGGATATCATTATCTAATTATCGAAAAGCCTTTCCCCTATCGTGTCCTCTCTTTCCACGAGCTATCCCGTTACCCAATAATTCTGTGTATCGGATGAAACAGATGACCGGTCGCCTTGTCGTTTTTATTTTTTATCTCCGCGTGCAATTGCATCCAATTTGCGGTCGACCTTGTAACACGAACAAGCTATTGCGACTCGTTTGCATTTGCATCTCGTGCACGCCGGGAATATCGTCTTCGTGATTCCAACGACCGCATTAACCCTTCAAATATTAATCGATCATCCGATTCGATTTGAATATAAACCTTACAATACACCGTACACTCGAAGACTTACAGAAACAAATTATTCCAAGCTCACAATCGTTCATAAAACTTAATTAATCACTGTACAAATCATACAGTAATGTTGATAAAAATTTTAGCAAAGAATCACTTGTACTACATACCTACCAATTGAAAATTCGAAAAATTTGAAAAACTCGTAGAACCAATTTATCCGAAATTCCCCATTTTTCAGATGTACTTTGAATACGAATTACATTCGTGTCGAATATTTTATTTCGAATTTGAATTTATTGTTATCAGAGTAAAATTGAAATATTACACGGTTCTATAAACCGAGCCTGAAGGGGTTGAACTCTGCCCCGATCAATCGGAACGGTATCTGAGAATCGCGTGAGCTTCCGCTGTAATCCGTTCGAGTTGTAGATAACGATAAATTTCGCGCGTTCCCGGTGCACGGAGCCTTATTGCGTCTTCGCGGTCCGTTCACGTGTTCGCGCACGTTTTCGCTTCGTTTCCTGGCGCCTTGAACGTCCATTAAAATATTTTGCACTCCAGGAACGTATCTAAAGCGATGAGGGACATGAATAGACATTTCTTTAAGAATAGCATGAATAATGAGGAATAGGAGGAGTAGAAGTGCTTTGTAATGATAGTAGTAGTATCATTGATAACGAATAGGAATGGAAATGCTTTATAATGATAGGAAGAAGAAGAATATGAATGGTGAGGAATAGAAATGGAAACTTTTTATAACAATAATAACAGTGGTAGTATGACATTTTTATGGTAGTAATAATAATATGAGTAATCAGGGATATGAATAGCAATTTCTTATAATAATAGTATGAACAATGAGGAATGGCAATCGACATTTTTTTATAATAATATCAGTAGTAGTAATAAGGAATAGGGATAGCAATTTCTTATAATAATAATAGTACAAATAACGAGGAATGGAAATTGAATTTTTTTATAATACCAATGGTATATATAATAAAGAATAATATAATAATAATATGAGTAATTAGAGGCTACTGGAATAGCTCAATCATGACTGCATCGTCTACTTAACTAGGTTCTCCAGTTTAAAGAGGTGCACGTGACCGAAAGTGAAAGTACGCATTCGATTATATTTGCACGGGCCAGCTGCTCAGTATCAATAATAAATGCAAGTGTAAGGAAGTTTTGCGCACAGATTTGCTCGACGGCCTTTTTATTAGGAATTCTCTTTAGTGTTTCCTTCGAGTTGCTAATAACCAGTCTCGCGTTCAATGTGGACGTTTACGAAACGCTCAGCAATTTAGTAATCAAGGGAAAGAGAAACTCGCACAGAACTGACAGAATATTTTGTGCTATTATTAACTTGAGAAACCCCGCAATCGATGGAATGCCCTAATTGGGACACTAGCTTCTGTTACAATGATCTTATACCGTCCTACAAGCGCCATTGTTACGTGACCAGCAGACTGGTGGATTTTATGCAAATTCGAACTTTATTTTCTGCGACCATTAATGAGTTAAACATGTTAAGATTATCTTAATGTTAAAGACAACATTATTATCGCAATGAAAGAAATAATGACTATGAAGTATTTGCAAATTTTCGAATAGATTAACATTTCTGAGCTAATTTACTGTCGCGATACGAAGTTAAATTTCATGTTGCCAGTCATTTGTGCGCCTTAAGAACAAAAGCTTTCAAATTTTCCTGGAAATTTAACTGTGTTATCAAATCAAAATTTCCCTAAAAATTCCAATTATCGTCGCATCAAGTTTTCCCTAAAAATTCCAATTATTTTCACATCATTTCCCTAAAAATTCCAATTATCGTCGCATCAAGTTTTCCCTAAAAATTCCAATTATTTTCACATCATTTCCCTAAAAATTACAATTATCGTCGCATCAAAATTTCCCTAAAAATTTAAATTATTCTCACATCAAGTTTTCCCTAAAAATTTCAATTATCGTCGTATCAAGATTTCCCTAAAAATACCAGTTATTATCAAAATTTCGTTCCCTGTCAATGCTGCACGCCAAAATTCCCAAAAAACTGACCAAAACCCCGCGAAACCTGTTTCACCCCTTTCCCACCCTCGCATCAGAACGCAAAAATGAACGGTCCAATGGCCACGCGACGGGTTCAAGATCCCTCGTTCGTTTGAGAGACACTGCGTCGGAACGCTTCTATTTTTAACCGAACGACCGTGTAATTGAACGGTCGGTCGGTCTCGCTTGTTATTTACAAGCGGTCGGGGCAGAAACAAGCGTGCGACACACACGGATTTTCTCAATGGGATGTTTACGCGCTCTCCAGGAAGC